TTAGGTTCCATCGTAAAAATTATACTAAAGCACCTTTAATGTTTCTTTCCGACGTTTTTTATTGGCAATCCAAAAGTATACATGGGATGGTAATTGTTTTGCCAAAAACGTAATACGTAATACGTAATTACGAAATTATTTACGAAATTAATTACGGGTGACGAAATTAATTACGGGTTACGAAACCAATTACGGGTGACGAAATTAATTACGGGTGACGAAATTATTGATTATTGACGAAATTAATTACGGGTTACGAAATTAATTACGGGTTACGAAATTAATTACGGGTTACGAAACTAATTACGGGTGACGAAATTATTGATTATTGACGAAATTAATTACGGGTGACGAAATTATTGATTATTGACGAAATTAATTACGGGTGACGAAATTATTTGAAATTAATTACAAGCAACGGAAATTATTCATTGTAAACAAAATTAACTATGGACAATAATTTTTTATTTTATATGCTTTTTACACTTTATAAAGTACTAAATAAAAGTACTCACATAAAATTTAAAATTTTTGTTAACCATAAACAATATCTTGCTTGTCTTTGAAGTAAAAAAAGTCCTTCGTGTGAAAGTATTATTAAAAACATATAACTTGTAAAGTAAAAAATTTCAAAAAACCCTTTTTTCAACCAAAATTTTCAACAAAACAAAAAAATTTTTTTTAATCAACAAGTTCTTGGTCCAACAAATCATCTATATCAAATTCTTTTTCACCATAATCAATAATTATTGGCTCAATGACAACCTGAACTTCCTGTGTTTTTAATAGTTCTGCTAATTCTTTATCTACTAGATTGAAAAAATTTTCAATTTGCATTTCATTATCATTATTATCAAATTGTCCATTGCTTCCATTATCTATATCAAAAGTTTCTTCATCAATATTTTCTACTTCATCAAAATTTTCCAATTCTTCTTCATCAATTTCATCTAATTCAACTTCATCAGAAAAAATATTTTGCATAGCATTATAAATATCATCATCATTCACATTTTGGGCTGCAAATTTCAGCTCAGTTTTGGTGTTTGAGACATAATAAGCATGGAGTTTAGAAAGGCTTTGTAATCGTTCCACACTCAACCTAATATTATTTAGTATTAAATTTTATACTAATTTTTAAGTTGGAAATATTTAACAAATAATTACCTTGTCCTTCTTTTATTCATGTACCACCCAAGAACTGAAAATACTCTCTCGCAACCTGCATTTGTTGGAGTTATTAATAAAATTTTCAGAGCAAGTTCTTGTATGTAATTTTCATTTTGTTCTATTAATCTCCACCAACTTTCAATTGAGTAGTATGCAGGTACAAATTCATCTTCATATGGTGATTTTCTTTCACGATAGGCAGCTAGTTGTGCAATTAGTTTTGGTGTAGAATTTGATCCACCACCCATCTTTAACCAAATATTTTTAATGGCCCAGTGAACCACATGACGAAATACAGTTTTCTGAAAACCTTTCCCTATTAAATTAGAAAAAATGAGCAGTTGAATTGCTTAACTTTTTGAATAAATACATAAATGCATACCACGATATTGTGGATGAAGAAGATAAGCCAACATGTACAAATTAAAGTCAAACTGTTTCCATCTTTTATTAAAGGTGGTGATACATTGGTTACGGAAAGTGGATGTTGATTCTGGTAGATTTTTTATTGAAAATGATAATTTTATTAATTGACAAAAACAATCCGCTAAAGTTGTTGACTTCATTTCCAAACACTTCACTGCTTCTTTTATTGGTTTCAATACTTTTTCTAATTCTTCAACATTCATAAAAAATTGTCTTGTTATAATAGCCTTAATATCTTCATTTAGATATTCTGGATTTTCATCTGCAATCTAAAATCAAATGGTTTAATTAATTTAATTTAACTTAATTTAATTGAAATAAAAAATATAATATTAATAACCTTTTTCAAAACATTTTCACATTTGAGGACAGAAGCTGTGCAATCCCAAGCAGTTGTCCACCTTGTTTTGCAATAACTTTTGAAGCCACCACCTTGTATCATACTTTCAATTATTTCTTGTTTTAAATGATAATTTACTTGGTGAGAAGTTTTAAAAAATCTTACTAATTTCATGCATTTTTTTAAAATTGACCTTGCAAATTCCAATTTACAAATATCTGTGGTAAGAAGATTAATGTGGTGGGAAATGCAACGGATGGGAATTATATTTTCATATTTTTGATGAACTAAATTTTTTGCCAAGACCATGGTGCTAGCATTGTCAGATACCAAACCAGTGAACTTCTCATGACCCCCTACATTTTCAATTACTTCGATTATTTTTTCTGAAAGGAATATACCTGTATGGGATTCTTTTGACAAATTTTGTATCGAATGAACAATTTCTCTCCTGTCTTTTGTAATGATGATAAAGGCGTAAAGAGATTGACCTGATGGACTTGTCCATCCGTCCAGCGCTAAATAAAATTTATACATAATGATGTTAATTAAATAAATAAATAAATAAATAAATATATATATATATACAATTATTACCCAAGGTAAGGTTTGTTTCAACATTCAGCATATCATTAATTTCACCAGTTATAAATGCCAACTCCACATTAAGCATTGATACAGAAAGAGTATGTCTACTTGGGGGGGGAATAGCCTGGACACAGTGTACATAGCAGATCAATGAAAAATGGATTTTCGACAATATGAAAAGGGATACCACAACAAGCGAAAAATTTCACAATAGCACGATTTGCCATATCTATTTTAGCAGAGTCAATTTTTGTTGATTCAAATTTTTCATAAATTTTTGGTTGTTGGTTAATTTTTTGTTTCTTTTTTTGTTTCTTACTTAAAATTGAATAATTTTTTATAACTTCTAAATAATGTTTTCTTGTTTCGTAAGGTACTTCTTTACAATAAAAAGCAAGATGTTCTCTCATATCATTAGGTTGTGCTAATCTTTTCTCCCAGCCACAAAACTTGCACACTCCACCACAATGACCTTTTATTCTTTCTCCTTTTTCTTCAAAATATTCCCAAACTTCTTCCCTTGGTCGACCAGATCGTTTTTTTGTTTCATTAATTTCGTCTAATTCACCTGAATTACTCATTTTTTGTCCTTAAACTTTTTGGTTCAACATCGACTAGATTAAATTTTGTGATACTTTGAGATAATCAAAATAGATGAGATTGATTATACATGTGGCAGAATATCACTTGACTCAATCAGGTGACTCTTTGACGCAATTAATTGAGTCATATGGAAACATATAAATAATTGAGTCATATGGAAACATATAAATAATTGAGTCATATGGAAACATATAAATAATTGAGTCAAGACACAATTAAAAATTGAGATTTTGGAATTGGGTCAAAGCCAAATTAATTTTGACAATATGTATAGATGAGAGATTATTTCAATTTGGTTTTTTAAAAAATTAAATTTAATTTTGACATTTAATGAATAAATGATTTTACATATAAATTAGTGAAATGATTTTAACCCAAAAAAACAACAGGTTAATTGATTAAATTTCAGAGCTTTGCTAATAAGTAAAGGCAGAAATATTTTATTTATTATCATTAATTTAACTTGTAAAAATTCATTGTTTCACTTATAAAAACACTTTTGTAGTCAGAAATAAACAGTGTGTTTAATTGTCCATTTGGTTGTTGGCATAGAACTGAGGTTTTGTTTATTTGCTTTGGTATATAGCAAAAGTTTTGACATTTGTTAACCAGTGTAGTGTTAACAACGGTTTGCATATAAAAATTTCACAATAGTAATTAATTCGTCGCCCCTAATTAATTTCGTCGCCCGTAATTATTTCGTCACCCGTAATTATTTCGTCACCCGTAATTAATTTCGTAATTACGTTTTTAAAGAGTAAAAGTGGTAATAGTAATTAATTACGTTAATTACGAATTACTTATTTACGGTAATTAGGTAATTACCATCCTATGTATATTTACACCATCAATTGAGACTTGCATCATGAATTGCATCTTGTGCCAATTGTATAAAATTATGATAGTGGTGCAATACAAAATTTTGGGATTTTTAATTGCGATTTAATAATTTTGACCTCAAGTATAATTGGTACAGTCCAAAACGTTTTTGGGTTTCAGGTTAGGTTCAGACTTTTCAGTTCAGTCCCAACTACAGTCAACAACCCAAACCCAGCCCAAAAACTTTCAGGCTAGCCCAGCCCATTCAGAGCTTTAAGTTTGGCCACTATTAAAGTTAATCAGCTATTATGAAAAGCTATTTTGGCATTTGAATTTGGCAATGATCGTTTATTAATAGAATTAATTTTGGTAAGCATGTATGATAGAAATGGAAGTAAACTAGGCATAACAGATTTAAGTCAAGAAGGAATTAAAAGACATTTAAAACCAATGAACATGAAGTGTCAGAATCACAACTTCTAAATAAAAAAAACTATTATTTCATTAATGAGAAATGATTATTTTTTATCTAAACAAAATCTTATCATATTTATCCTGGTCTACATATATTAATGACATTACAGTTTGAAAATAATAATGAATTCTTCTACTCTGAAACCTGCTGCTTTAGAAGAAACATATACTCTTAGATCAACATATGGAAACTATACAAATTCTAAACCTGCTTCCGATTTTTTGGATAGTATAGCTTTTCAAATTGTTTTCAAACCCCCTCTCCCTCAAAATTACGTCATATCAAACGTCATTATTATTATACATACTATTTGATGAGCACTGCTTCTAATTTGCTTTGCCTTATTATCTTATTTCTCGAAATATATTATAAGGACGCCCGCCCCATTGTGTAAAACAAAATAAATAACATTGAAAATTTTAGGGTAACCTATCTATAGTTTTTGGGGCTTTCTGTACAATTTTTAAAAAATCAATTCCTATGTTCGGTTGTTAGTTTTAATAAAGACAAAATTAAATAAAATATTGAAATGAGTAGTTACTTGAATTGGAGTTGGCTACCCTCAGTTAATAATTCTTTTATGAGCAATTATTACTCCAACAATAATGTTAATAATAAGATTAAGTCAAATTCTGAAAACTCGACTTTCTTTGGTTTTTTTGGAGATAGAACACCAAAGGTCGAAAAGTACTCATTAGAGAATTTGAGGTAATTCTGAATGCTTTATTCAGAATTTCGAATTTTAAAAAATAATTGAATATTTTTACATATTTATTTCCACCATAAATTAATAATTTAGACAATTAAGCACATATTTAAAGAATTATTCAGTTAATGAAGATGAAGGTGGAACAGTTGAAACGATGAAAGAGATGACACAAATATTAATTTGGGGTGAGTTTTGTTATTTAATCTTTTATTATTATTGATGTTATTAGTGTTATATGTAATGTTAACATATCATTACTATCATTGCTATTATTGCTATTGTAATGAACGTGAATTAGGTGATCAACATAAGCCAGCGATACTCGAGTAATATTTATTATAGTCATTGTTATAATA